TGGGAGCTTTTAAGAGGTGCCACGACTGCTGTCGTTTGGCTCAAGACACGAGACCAGCAGTGAGCTGTGCGTCCTGAAAGTGTGAACTGTCCGAGTGTTTTGTTAACTTGCTTTGCTTGCAAGAGTGTGTGACAGGTTTGCTTGAGGCCCTGAAAGCGTCTGTAGGCTTTCTAGGTTTTTAACGGAAAGAAATTTTGCTACTAATAATGCTTCTAACCCACACGCACTCAAGAAGGGGGCTTGAATTTGCCGCTGGAGTTTTCTTGCAGAATCATACCAAATTTGATCAGTAAGAACTTCAAAAATGGTGAATGCTCTGAAGATGCGCACTTCAAAGAAGATCAAAGTGATTCTTTGGTCGTGTCTTGCACCTGCGCCTTCGAAAGGGAAAGGTTCGCATGCATCCATTCCAGAGTGATTGCATCTGCTTTTCACGTGAAAGCTTTTCCAAAAGGTTTCTTGTTCTTGCGTCCCACTAGAACGTAAATTAAGTTTTTCCTTTCTGATCTCCAAACCATTCGGCCGCCTCTTGCGTGAGAACCCCCAACAACCGCCACCCTGTGTCATGTGTCTCAACTTGCTGCACCGAGTTTCAACAAACTGGTAGCGTTCGCGAATTTGTTGTTTGAGTTTTTGTTCCACGAGGGCAAGTCTCGCTGTGGAAATATTTGTGTTTTTCAAGAAACAGCCCCGCACTCCGTTGCAAAGAACCATTTTGTTCGGGACTCGCGCTCAGAAGTGCTAGTTTGTGACGGAGAGCTGGAACTCAGAAGCGCTGGAACTCAGGTTTCTGCCTCTAGAGTGGCTCTTGCATTTTTTCGTGGTAACACGACTTTTACAGAGAAATGTCGGTGGGGTGGAGAGAGAGCACACGTGCAGAGTGCCCCAATAAAAATGTTCTCTCGAAGTTGTTTGAACTCCGAGAAAAAAAACTGTTCCCAACTGGAAGACTCCACCAAGTCTTGGAAAATTGTTGCCGCCCCCAAAATATTTTCTCTCGAAGTTCGAACTCTAAGGGAAAACGAATTTTTGTGTTTCCAACTTGAAGACTTCACCGAGTCTTGAAATCATGCCTTCCCAAAAAAATATGTTCTCTCGAAGTTCGAACTCCGAGAGAACAAAAATGTGTGTCTCCAAGTTGCCGTCACACAGTCGTCCACTTGTATGGGCACACGCAAGTGGTATCACTGCAGATTCAAAAGGGGCAGGCGAAGGCAGTGCGCTCAAGCGAGCAGCTTTGACCAGGCCAACATGGCAGAGCTGTCAGCCGGTGCTTGTGTGGAGCGCCCGGTGTTGGTTGAAGCTTTTGAACTTCTGGCAAACTGTGCGCTCTGACGCATTCGAACTTCTCCATGTCCATGCAGGTTCAACCCAACCGGGAAAAAATCGCAAGCTTGTGTTAGTTCAGCTTACGTAGTGCCAGACCGGTGGTATCGAGCGATGTTCCGCACAATTTAGTTTGAGCGGGCGCACGCAGATTAAGCAAACAGTCAATTCGCGGGCCTTGCCCGAAGGTTGTTTGCTGTCGTACCAAGTCAACAACGTGGGAACTTGAGCACAGATGGTGGCATGGAGCCGGAGGCAAAAACATCACACTTTCCGCTCGGGGCACCAGTTCTTGAATAGGCATTTTTTGTCGCACAAGTGGTAAATATCTCTTTTAGACGTTGTTTTTAGGGAGTTGGGAGTTAGACATAGCAGCAACACATCGGAGAAAAAAACTTTAGTGTGGGTGCTGAACGGGTTGTGCAAACCTCGCTACAGTCGCAAGCAGGACTAGGACTAGGATCGTTTTACATGGCGGCCGCGCTCCTTCGCGTGGTCGTACTGCTGCTGCTGCCGCTACCGTCGTCGGCAGCGCCTGGTGGGAGGCAGGAGGTTCAATATTCGTTTTGACGGCTGCGGGGTTTGGGTAATTTCCCAGGCGGATATGACGACACGCGAAGAACCGCTCAGTGAAAACATGTTCACACCTTTTGGAACTTCCGGGTTTGGGGCTGTTGCGTCCAAGTCAACTGCCTCATGTCGCACACTCCTAACTGACTGCGTTGATCTAAGCTTCGTGACTCCAGCTTAGACCATGGAAGCGTCGAAAAGTCAGGTTTGTACTCACGTGTTGTGTTTAAATCCCGTCACGAAAACACAGGCAGCTAATCACTGTGAGCTGCCCGCCCCTTCGGGGCTCCCTTCATGCGGAATGGGGCTGCCCGTTACGCGGCTCCAATCCAGCGTGGCTGTTCTTTCGGTCTTCGTGTTCGCAATGTGGTGGGTTGAGATTGTGGCCATGGCGGATAGGATGCGTCAAGAGCTTCTACATCATGCATCCCACGAGGTTTTGACATTGCGGTAATTATGTGTATGCATGTTTGTTTCCAGCTGTAGCATCCTGTGGCTGGATTGCAGGATTGCATCCTTTTTGTGATAAGCTTCATCGGGTGTCTGTATAGCTCCGGGCATGGACAGCAGTCGCCGGGCATAAGCTGAGGGAAGGCCAGCTGGGGCCGGAGCTCCTCGCCGACCCGGGCTTTCTCGGGGCAAGCGGAGCCTGGACGACTTACCTCAAGGAGCCAGGCACGGGGAAAGCTCGCCATTGAAAGTCTCCAACCCCCGTGCAAAAGACGTTTCCCAGACGGAGCTAGCTTCAGCTTTACCGGAAACGGCGTGGCCGTCGATGCAGTGGCGGATGATGATGCAACTTGTACAGCCATCAGTGCATGTCCAGCCTTTGACGGTCCGAGGCACGTCACATCCAGGTTAGTGTGTGAAGCGGCTGGGGGGGAGCTATCCGGAATCACTGGCTAGACCTGTTTGTTCCGTGCGTCTACCTGAGGAAACACCTTGGCACGTGCAGCTGACGCAGCCAGTCTCTTTGGACCAAGGCTGTTGGGGCAAGAAGCTGGGGGTTGCTAGCAAGCCTGCGCCCGCACAGACACGCTTTTTATTCACTTTCTCAGGCTGGCTGTTGCATGTGCAAGCTGTGCTCTTTTGTTCTTGGGGGCATTGGAGGGAGGGAGATAGCCACATCTGCCGAGTTCCCGTCCAGTCTGGACCTGGGGGCCAGTGGCATTCAGAGACATCGGTGATACGCGACTCAAGGTCTTCGTAAGGGAACGCACTACAAATAAGAGCAAGCCACCATCGTCATGAAGCAGTCAGTGGTGTGCGGTTTTATGGATGACACGTGATGACACGTGCGTTCGCATCAGTTTCATGAGGGGCTGCTCGCCGCCAAAATTCTTGCAACACCGACTACCCGGATCAGAACAGTCTCGCCTGTTTCATGGTTACAGCCAGGTGGTGCTACGGAATCCTTTTACAGCCTCTGCATCCAGGCATCTTCGATGCAGGTGCCAAACGGGAGATGTGAAAGTTGAGGTCTTGAATCTGTGAGTTGCTAGGACATCGCAAATTTCCTCGTTCATGTATGCTCAGCGCATGGACTGTATGACCTGACGAAGCCTAGATCCCAAGCCTGCAGCGAATAGTAGGTCTTGTCGAGCATGTCGCTTTATCAGCAGGTGTGGCCAGCAGGTTACGATTGGGGAAGCCCGTCTGAGCAGTTTGGTTGGACAAGTCCGTAGCGTTGACACTTCCGGGCCAGCCTGGGGAGCCATACTGTCGGAATCCTTCGACTTACGGCACCCCGCACGAGGGGACGAAGTGGGGGGCGGGTGGGTTGGTCGCTGGCAATGCCAACATTTCAATCGTCCCCACAAGCGGCTCCGCTGAAGCCTGCACTCACAACAAAGACACTCGCTCGAGACCGCCGCCCTTGGCAAAGGTGCAGGGCTGAAGGCAGAAGGTGGCTCGGTGGTTGAGACATGGTATGGACATGACACTGCATCCCTGAGGCTATGCCCGGCTTGTCGAATCCCCGCGACTCTCAGGCCGGTAAAATACAGTTCGCTGTGGATGCGGACGGCGCGCTGAACTTTGCGGTGGCCGGTGGCGGGGTGCGTGCCCAGTCGCTTGGAGGCAGTGGGCCTGGGACTTGTTCGTTGTGCGCTTAAAGACCAAGGATGCGCTTAGCAGGCGATGGCCGCCTCAGGAATCATTGCTTCAGCTTCCGCGCCTTGGCACTGCACGGAGATGGTACGACAGAATTTTCGGCACTGCGCTGGAGACTACTAGACCCGGGTGATCGCTGCGTTCATTTGAAAGCAAAGTTTTCGTACAGCGACGGGGGAAATCCCAGACCTTTCTTAATGAACCGTCCCAGTGGGAGCATGTCCAGAACTACAGCTGTGCTGCCACGAAGGACATGCCAGGCAGGATGCCAATGGAAGTTCATCTACTTCTAAAGTTGTATCGACCCAAAAGGCAGAGCTGTAGAAGTTTGCGGATGGCACCCGAATGTTGACACTGTTCGTCCGGCTCGTTGCATTTGGCTTAGCCCAAGCCTCCCTTCGAGTCGCTTTGACATTTCCACAAAGCTTTTCTCAAGCCTCCACATCGTCTGTTCAGCATGCTCATGGAAGCCGCATGTATCTTCGGATCAGACCTAGAGAATGTGTTGCTTCCCTCTGGAGCGCCACCAAAAGCCGAGGCTTGGGGCCGTCGGAGTTTGTGTACCAAGGTGCCAAAGACTTCTGGACGCGTGGGTTTCATTCCAGGACTTGGATTTCTTACGGCTTCTCTGCCTGAGCTCGCTAACGAACAGCAGAACTTTCGGGGTACACTTTGTCGTCCCATGTCGGTGCGTCAATATGGAGCCTCGGACCGTCATTTGCCTCAGCAGTTGGTCAAGCCTCAGGTTCAGGCTGTTTAGGCATTTCATTTCTAGGTAACCATCCTGACATCCTCACTTCTATGCCACGGCGTAGTAAAAGTCGGCGCGGACGCGTCTTCCTTCGGAAGTGCCCGCTTTGTGCATGGTTCTTCCAATCCGCAGATGCAGGCTGAGGGTGTTCTGCTTCAGCCAGAGCAGAGAAATGCGGGCCATGCCTTACTTGGATGTAGTCCTCGTTTTTACCGCGTTCGCTGTCTGGGCTTTTGTTGTTTTGCTTCGGCGGCATGGCAGCCTCTTGTCTGGGTGTGTTGGGTACCTTCGGAATCAGTCGACGGCTTCGCATCCATGTTGCGGGGTGAGCAACCCGTCACAGCGAGTGCGCTCTAAAATGTTGAGATGGCGGCTGTGTTGAAACATCACGATAAGTATGTGCAGCAGCTGAAGAAATCAGGCGCTGTAGGATCTAGCATCTAGGTGCCCTTGAGCGCTCATGTCGTCGCTGAGAAGTGTTTGTATCAACACGTGTGTTTCATGCTTAGCTAACCGTGCGAGTGGGCGGCCCAAGCGTGCAGGCAATTTCATGCATAGTTTGGTACCATGATCGTTTGCACTTCATTCTGGTCAAGCGAGAACGATGCTGTGCCACAGCCGTGATTTAACGGCAATTCTGAATGTGGAGAAATTTTCATCGACTTGAAATGCCGGCTGTTGTTGTTGTTGTTGATTCAAAACCACCCTGAGACAAAATTTCATTCACATCATGGTTATATTCACGAGATTAGTCTCCAAGGGCGGATTACCACAGCGAGTGGAATGCTTGCCGGAAGCGGTTTCCACGAGTTTTAGAGTTTAGAGTTTAGAGACATGGCAACGCAATTGTTCCGGGACAAGGGTTATCGGCATTGCTGGCAGGCTTAGCAGAGATCTGGACGAAGATTTCGGTGGGTGGTCTTGAAAAGCAGTATATCAACTTAAGTTGCATATTGTGGCGTTGATTCATGTTGGCTGGAGTGTGCTGGGTGGTTGGCACACAGCTGTGTCGAATCCAGCTTAAGTAGAGCAGTCCCCGCGTACCGGGTCCAAATGAACCAGGACGAGTAGCGAACAACATGTGCCTCGATGCAATAGCTACGTGTAGCATTCCTGGCGTGCTCAGGGCTGTCAGAGGTCTGTGGATGTCGTTGTAGACTGGCAGGGTCGGTCAACTCAATCCCTTCTTGCAGAGTCTCTAGGAAGTCGGAATGGCGATCAGTGGCAGAATTTGCAAAGAGCGGTCCTGTCTCTGTGCAGGGCGAGTTGCCTTGGACTTGGGTGCCGTGAAGGATGTCGAGGTGCATGTCCTGGCTGCATGGAGTGGCCGTGCATTTTCTTTTTGAAATTGACATGGCCAGATTTCGCTTGCTTTATTAAAGGATATACGTGCCGCTTTACGGCCGTCCTGGGCTGTGAAACGTCTGGCTGGCAGTTGCTCTTTTCTGGAGTAAGGATTGTTAAAACAACCGGTGCGGGTTTCCCCCCTTAAAGCCTCATAGTGTAATAAGGCGCCCACAAAAAAGAACGGCGTTCAACATCCAGACACCGTAAAATACGACTTCGAAAAGTACGATGCAGAGTCTCCTGCAGCCAGTTTGAAGAAAACCCGCAATTGTCCAGCGGCGCATCTTCAAATCGCGCAAGTCTTTGGTTTGTTGCCCCGAGCATCTAATTCGAAGGTGTGCCATGCCTCGCTGAAGCGCTGTACGTCGCGCCCCAGTGTGGTCGCCTTAGTTGGGGACAGTGTTTCGGGACTAACGGATTTGGAGTCAGGTCATGAGGACGAAGCAAGTTGTAGTGAAGATTGCTGCGCTTTTCAACCTGTAGGTTTTCATTGCGTGCGTCCGCAACAGCTGCCTCCCTTTCTGTCACCAGGTGGCTGCCATTATGCCAGTGCGGCGGTGTTATCTCGCACCGCCACTCGGACAAGAACCTGCTGAAGGCTTAAGGGCAGGCGAAGGCCCCGACCAACTAGGCCACAGCCTGTCACAGCCTAGGCTCTCGGAGGGGCTGGGCTGCACTTTGCTGGACCGCCAGGGCGGCGCAACTTTCCAGAGGAATCGGCCTCTCGGCAGAATTTGGTAGTGACTGCAGGAGCAGGAGTGCGAACACAGCACTTACACGGAAGGCGCGACCCGCCGTTACATTTAACAAGAAGAATTTTCGCGCAACGCTCCGGGGAGCTTGAAAGTGTCCCGTGCAAGAGCTGCGCTGGAAAATTTCGGGCTTCTGAATCGAGTGATTCTCCTATTGCAAACAAATACTGTATCAGGCTCAAAGTCCTCACTGGTCCTCGGCATGCCGCGGAGGGTGGAGTTGTCTTCCTTTTTGGGCCCTTGAGTGTTTTTGATGGGGGGCTCGGTGTCGTGGGGCTTCCTAAGGCAATACACTTGTTCATGTTATTTTACGGGATTCCGTGCAGGGATATGAGATTCGGCACAAGGGAACCTTTTATGGAAGTCCCTAGGGAAGCCGCTCTTCGCGAATCCCTTCCGACCCGAAGGAGATGCTTCAGTGTATATGTCCTAGTGGTACCATGTCAGAACTTGTAATGCACATATCGTATATGTAGTGTGGTCTTCGATTTGTGAACGGTGTGTACAGCAGGTAAAGAACATGTGTGTACATATATATATATACATATATATGTAGAGAATCTGTATTATATGTTTTGTTGCATTAAATTTGTCATACGTGTCTGCCACAATATATACTATAGGGTAAAAACAGTACATAGAGGCTATTTTTTCTTTTCGCACTCTCTCTCTCGCCATCTATATGTATATATATACATATACATACATATCATAAAAGTATATACTATTGACATAAATATATGCATACGACGTGTACGTTGTACATAACAGTACTTATCATTTAGCTATATATATATATATATGTTTGTGCGTATATGTATACGACCTATGTATACTATGTATACCGTTGGTACTCTTTATATATCTGTATATCTTATGCATGTATATGTACATGTATATATATATATGTATTTGTTTGTTTGCTTATAGCAAAGGCATGTAGAGCGTGAACAAATGTAAACATGAACGAATAAGTAAATATACGTACACACATATATGCATACATACTTACTTACATACATACATACATACATACACAATATTTGCCCGTGTATAAACACATATACGGCATGCACTAATGCCATATATACTGATGTACTACAAGTTCCAAGATATACACACACACATATATATATATATATGTATATATAAATAGGTGTATACACATAGTTCGCATATACACTAATACGTACAAGTAGCATGTGCTACATGGTCTGTACGACAAACTGTATATGGTATACCATATACTTTGTTACTGACGGCTGTACAGACTATATAATTTCATTATGTACCTCTATTTGGTACATATATATATATATATGGTACGGAGTCATATGTCTGTGCTATAATTTGCACTGTATTACATCTATGCGTACCTATAGGATGTACGTAACTTCATGATCATCATATGAGACAGAGAGAGCATAAATAAGTAAATAAGTAAATAAATAAATAAAGAGGTTGTAAAGCAAATAGTCTAAAAGATACGTAAAGTAGAATACACATGCTGTGTGTATATATATATATATGTATATATTTTTATACACACACATTTGTGTGTGCATGTGTGTGGGGGTGTTTACGTGTATATGTACAATCGTATATATTACATAACATAATGCTATTTTGCAAATTAGCATAATAACCTACTTAGTATATGTATATGTTTGTTTTTGTATATGTGTATCCCTCCCTCCCTCCCTCCCTCCCTCCTTTTCTCCCCCTCCCTCCCTTCTTCCTCCGTTCGTCCCTTTTGTCCTTCTTTCCTCCCTTCTTCCTTCCTCACTCTGTTCCTTCCTTCCTTCCTTCCTTCCTCCCTCCCTTCGTTCGTTCCTTCCTTCCTTCCTCCCTCCCTCCCTTCGTTCTTTCCTTCCTTCCTTCCTTCCTTCCTTCCTTCCCTCCCTCCTCCCGGACGAAAAAACAAGAGGGCCCAAAAAAGAAAAAGAAAAAAGGCCCCCAAAAAAGGTTCCCGCAGTGCTGCGGAAGTCAGATCTTGAATCCTAGAAGCTTGCTTGGTTGGAATGTCCCTCAAATTTGTTGAGGCATGGTCAGGCTGCTCGTCCCGCAAGACTTTGCTTGGTGTTGAGCAGGACAGATGCCGGGAATGGCAGGCGAAGTTTATGCATGGGATCTAGAGATCAGACTTAGCGCTTTGAGCTTTTGGAGAGGTGCCTGCGTTCTCGGACCTGCACATGTTTAGTGGACCTTGCTCGCAGGAGGGTGACCATCTAAAAGTCTTATAGTTTTTGTGCCTGATAGCCCGGATCTGAGGCTTGTGAGTTTGGTTCTGTCTTCGAGATGCTAAGGAAACGACTGCGAAGCGGGCGTGTCTACAGGAGATGCGGGCCCTCGCAGGACTTCCGGCTCGAGTTAGAAGTGTGTGGTTCTTCCCAGATCGTGGCATGTGGCCGTTCTTTCCTTCTCCTCCGCCGCCTCCGAGCAGCCTTTGTATGTTGATGAAGACGGCTGTTCACGGTTTCGTTGCTACTGAGATTCGAAAACTTCAAATCTTGTGTTTCAGGTGTTACCGGAATCAACTTTGGATGTTTGATGTTGCTCTTGAATCTTCTTGCGAATCGCTCTTGTCAACCTTGCGTTGCGGCAAGCTAACAGGCGAAACCGATTACCGAAGAAAGCGTTCCTTGACGGGTTGAGTGCCTCTCAGCAGAGTGTCATCGGCAGTGTGGAAGTATTGTACACGCGAGTCGCAGGCAACACCTTCGTCTACTCGATCGGGCAACCTGAATGTGTCAATGCTTGTTTGCCATCACGTGAGTAGCTTCTCAATCCAGACTCAATGTTGGAAGTCAGAACATGTCTTCGGATGATGCTAGTACCTTGAATCTCCTCTTTAGGCCGGGGTCCTTCGAAGTTATGCATGGTCGGATGCAGAGGCAACGGCTATGAACCCTTGACGGGAGACTTTTGATCAGGGATCGGGGTCATGCAATGGCTTGTGACGAACTGTTACCAACATTTAGCCGCAAGCTCAAGTTGTTTGATGGCATCCAAGATGAGCCAAGCATCGTTCCGCCTCAGGCACTGTGAAATCTGGCGTTGTTCCTCCAGGGCTGCATTGGTCGAAGCAGCAATGAGCTACGACTCCAAGGTCGCGTGCTGAAGCAGCTCCTGGGTTCAGGCTTCAGGGCTGTAGCTCAAAGTGGGATCGCGTTGGAACAGAATCTGAATAGTACGGGGCCTTCTGAGCAGTAAATCCGTGCAGGTTCCGGACGTTTGCGGCTTATCAAGAGCCATCATGTCGGTCTTATGATCGACAGTGCAGCAAAGAAAAAAATCAATGTACAAACCTCCAAATACATGCAGATGTTTCAGAGTACGGACATGTAGTATTAATACGAACAGCAATCTTTCTTACCATAGCACTACTAGAAGCAAATTAGCAGACATGATGTTATGATGAAAAGAGAACACGACAGAAATACGTATGCATGTATGTATGTATGTATGTACGTATGCATGTATGCCTGTATGCATGTATGCCTGTATGCATGTATGCCTGTATGCATGTATGCATGTATGGATGTATGTATGTATGTATGTATGTATGTATGTATGAAGGCTTTCCGGCTCTAGATTGTCTCTGGGGCTTTGCTTCCACCTCCTCTCGTGCACCATGGGCTGGTTTCTTCCGCTCTCTGAAACAAGGCGTGAACTGGGTCGCATGGCGGATGGACATCTGGCCACCCAAGCTGCGATGAACGACGTTGAAGCTTTGCTTGGGCGACTCACCACTCGCTACGGAGATGCGGCTGTGTGGCAGCCGAGTACCCCATCAAGCCTTTCCAAGACTGCGCCAGCAGGGATCCCAAGTCCCCAGCTGGAACATGCACTGACCTCATTCTTCTTATCTTGCACATGCTGCCTACATTGGGCGAGGAAGCGCATGTCTCCACAAAGCCGAGGGTGCCGGTACCGTGACGACAACTGGAGCTTGATCTGTAAATCTCCAGCAGGATATTCACTGGTCAGGCGAAGCCTGGTGGTATTGTTCATGATACGAATCAGTTGACCACTTTCTCCCATGCTCGCAGACATGATCACGGTCATTGCTCGGTTGTGCAGCGAAGGGTCTGAGCTTCCGCTTGCAGTGAGCTAGCTCTGCGCATTTTTCTGTTCCTGGCCACAGTTGTAAGGGCGAGAACGCTGTGCGTCGCCCGTTGCAGTCACTAGACCTGCGTGTTGTGGTTGTGAACACGACTCCTTGACGATGCGCATTTTCTGAACGAGCCTGTGCAGATGAGGTGTTGCCTACTGTTAGATGAGGTTTACCCTCTCGGCGCTTGGCGAATACGGGAGACGCTGGTGTTACCACTCGTCGTGTTCTCTTTCAGCATCTTTTTCCCCAGACATTATGCGAGCGTAAGCATAGCCTACAGGCTCAAGGTGAAGCTTAGCAACACCCTCTTCGGTGGAGGTTTTGCTTGT